TCTCTTGTAAGAGATCTCCTGAAAAGGACAGTTTTATTGGCATATAAAATACCCCCAGCAGATGCTTAACTGAGCTCAAAACTGTGTTTTGGGGTAGAACATTGTGCCTTTTATTGCACTTCTATGCACTAAACATTGAAACATTAGCATTTACCAGAGCTTATGCACCTGCTCCCTGCAATCTATAGGTTGCTGAAGATATTCAAGGAACATGGACAGTGCAATGGGCCCGAGTGTATTAAGCCTCAAGGATATAGAGTAGTGGTGTCAAACATACGGCCCGTGTGCCAGAAAAGGCCTATAATGGGGGCGCAATCAGGCCTGTGGGGCCATTATCAGCAATTTTTTTCAATAAAAGTAACTGTTGTTGCTAATTTTGTAATAACACTCACTGGCATATATTCTTTATCCTCGGCAAAAAAACAACTAACATAAATGCAGTTAATAACAGTTTTAAAATAGGCCATTCATTCGTACTCCAAAGTGCCTTACAGTACAGAAATTATATCGTGCTATCCCTCAGGACAAAAATGTTTTTTGCAGCAGTAAGTATGACACACCACCCCCCCAAAAAAAAGAGAGAAAGAGAGAGAGACAGATATGTTAAATTCTCTTCTGCAATACACAAGAGATAAATGTGGCTACGAATTAACTAGAATTTTACAAACCCGTTGGTATGAAAAAGCTCTTTAATTAATCCAAAGACAAAAACTCTGCACCTACTCTATCCAAGTGAATCTTTGCTCGATTAGAATGCTGCTGGGGCGACTGACAATTATTGCAGACTATTTCGACAAATGGTCTTCTAGTTCTGTCACCAGCAAATTCATTACAATTCAACTGGTTCCTTGCGTGGTTTAAAACCACCAGGCAGAGATAAGAAGTGTATGTCATTTAATTAAAAGACAATTACTGATTTTTGCACACATATTTCTTCCAATAATTACTGTCCTTTTGACGACAGGGAGCGAAAAGAGCAGATGTGGCCGTCAGGAATCATTTCTCCCTTGTACATCAAATTTGCAGTCAAGAAGTGAAATATCACTTGATTGGTTTTGTAACGAGGTCAACTGAGTTGAATTGCGACTTGGACTCATTTATTCATGATCCTGACACACTGAATGCGATCAAAGATAAGATATTGTATATTTACTGTATATATGCATCCGAAAATAAGTTAATTTCATTTCAACACCATTATTTGGTGCACATGTGGAACCTCTTAAAGCTCACACGCAGCGCAGGGCCCTGCTGACAAGAAAGGAGTAAAAATTGAGATCAGCTCACAGCCTACGACAAAGTGTCCCATGTCTCTTTATGCTGACTTTATTGGCAGGAAAAATAAAATTCCAGCACTGGAATTTGGGTCACAAGTCCACGTGGCAAATGGAAGCTGGAATGACGACGGAGTGGGTTAGTGGACGGGCAGTGGACTGACAGACGCATGTGTAATTTATATATTTAAAAAAAAAACAACAAAAAACACTCAACTGGCCAACCATGACAATCTGCAATGTAGAGATAAAGCCTCTTTTATTCCTCGTTTCCTTCCATACAAGTGACATGGCAACGCCCAATCTCCAAGTCTCCACTTAGCCTGAATGTAAACAGAAGCCGGAAGGCTAAACTGTGAGAATGACATGCATAAGGAAGTGGTAAAGGAGTCAAGAGAGCACTGATCTTTGACTCGGCGCGCCAACGCGCTGCCCAGCAACTGGCCGGCAATGCGCTCGCACCTCAACTGACAGCCTATTGAGAACTTTACAAACATGACATTTCTATTGCAGGGAGAAAATACTGCTCTGACCAACGAGCAACGAGCCAGCCTTCAACACAAACAGACCATGAATCAACTCGATGACAAGATTCCATGGACGTAAGACCGCAATTCGATTTCATCATACAAATACCATTTTTTTGTTATGATTTTTAAAAAGTTAATAATTTTCTCTGACCAACGAGCAACGAGCCAGCCTTCAACACAAACAGACCATGAATCAACCCGATGACAAGATTCCATGGACGTAAGACCGTGATTCGATTTCATAATACAAATACCATTTTTTTTGTTATGATTTTTAAAAAGTTAATAATTTGGCCCGATATTTTGTGTGCCGTTTCCTTGGTGGAAAAAGTCCACTTTTCACATTCTGTGAAAAGTGAACAAAATCCATTTTCACAAAAACATGACTCACTTTGTATGATTTAGCAGGCCGCAAAATATGCTGCGCGGGCCTGATCCGGCACCCGAACTTTGAGTTTGACACCCAGTCTGACTAGCAGGCCGGTAGCAAGTGTTTCATGCACGCTATGTTCATCTGACGAGATGCGCTTGATGTCGTGTCCCAGAAAAGGTGGGGCTAAGTATCATATGTACAGTGCACGTCCACTTTCAAATGGAGACTCACAATAACATCTACTAGAAAAAAGACGAAAACAATGAGGATGAGATTTCATTTATTTTTTTTGTGTTTTTTCTAAACAGGGTGGGGAAAACTTACTCGTTTATGGAAGATTCTGGTGCAAAGATGTCCGAAAGTGAGCTGAAGGTAGAGAGAAAGGAAGAATGAGAAGAAAAAACAAAAAAAAAAAAAACTATTCAATTTTACTGATGTGGAATTACTGTGGCAACACAAGGCTTTAATAAAGTTTGTGGATTGGACTGCACTGCACTTAATCCGAGTTGGTGCCGGACTTCACACGAGAAGTTAGAAAAGTAAACGTCATACTGTATACACCACAGCGTGAAACTCTTCCCGACTGCTTTGATGAACAGGTTTCTCTCATTTTGTGCTTCTTGCATTTCAAAGCCCATCACGGAGGACATCAGGAGTTGCAACACGACAACTGCCACAGACACACAAATAGTGTGCAGAGACAGCAAAAGTAGAAGCATGTTTTTGGACTGTGCGAGGAAACCGGAGTACCCGGAGAAAAACCACACAGGCATGGGGAGAACGTGCAAATTCCAAACAGGAAGGCCGAACCTTGCACCTCTGCACTGTGCGGCGGACGTGCTAACCAGTCGCCCACCGTGCCAGACACCAAACAATGTTAACACAAATATGGTTCAGTGTCAACTGAGATCATAAAACTCGAGACTGAGCGATTAATGTGCAGGACGATTATAGCATATGACAAATAAATTAGTCAGTATGCTGTACGGAGATTTTGTATGAAGACTCGAGAAATTGCTTCTTTTTTTTTTTTAACTTGAATTTAAACTCTGCTCATGAAGCATTTGTGAGATTTTAAGACAAATCTCTTCCAATATTTTGGTCAATGACACCAAATGATCTCACAACCACAGTAGCGATTTCGACATCTAAAACAGCACATTTGAGTAAGCCTGGCATGGTAAAAAGTGAACATTAGGAAGTGCAACTGTCAGGCTGTCAGCATCAAAGTGTGAAGTCAAGTTTTGCTTATTAAAAACTGCCTTTGCAAAGCATTCCGGCGCCCCTTGCCAGCTGACATGGGGCTCTTGCTTCGCGGCCGTTAATCACTAACACCGGAATCACTGTTAAGCGTTTCAGCCAACATACGCCGTAAAAATAAAATGTCAGCGTAATAAGAGTTCCTTTATCAGCATTAAGTAGTGAATCAACTTGATTTCAGGACGTGTGTTATTGATGTCACCGATAATAAAAAGTAACCTCGATTACAATGAGGGATATGCGTCAAGTGGCACCATGGGCCTTCACGCTGCGACGCACTGCCGGGAACTTCAAAATAAAAGGTGTTGCTGTCCCTTATGTGATTTGATAAGCTCGGGTTTATTTTGAAATTGGCCTGATCATCGCGTTGGCGGCGTGTCACCGTCATGCATAGCATGAAACACTTGTTGCTGCAGTCGGCTTGAGTTTTTCACGCAGCGTACATGAAATAAATATATAAAAAAATGAACGGGTACCCGTGGCAGAAAGAATGTTTCGAGTTTTTTTTTTAACATAGTTTTCCCACAAAACTGTGGATGCATTCAGACTCGTTTAACCTCAGGCGCATTGGACTTTAGAGGTTCGTCCATATGCATTTGAAAGACTGCACTCAAAACACCGCTTAGGGACAGCACTTAGTATGATTTACAGCACATGACGGGCACCCACAAGGTAGGGCAGACATCTCTTTTGGAGTCAATTTGTGGTTTTGCACTTCTGTTCCAAAAATCTGCAAGCATTCTGCCAGGAATGCCACACATCTCTCATTGTACAGCCAGCCAGCAATGCCCTCAAGTCGATCCACAGTTTACTTAACACCTCTGGGGATAAAAAATTCTGGCTTCAAGGAAGTCTCACCAAAGAGTTTTGGGGGTGTCGCATGCAAGTACTTTATGGAGGGACTCACCTGCTGACAGACACGTCACTGTAAGTGGGGCTGTTGGAGTAGAAAATGCCTCTTGGGGAAGGCTCCTTTTCTTCCTCTCCTTCAGATTTGAGATCCAAACAAGTCTTTGATTCTGCACCTTGAGCTGAATGATACAAAAGTATTTCTCACGTTATCCTACTTCACATACAGTACATTAGGAGCTGCCACAAAGGATTGCTACTGCGCACGTGTGTCAGATGAGGCTTGCAAGCTGGCGGGAGAAGCAGGCACGAGGCAGAGAACAAAAAGGGCCAAATAAATAAATACTTCGACAAAAATAAACAACTCGTTGACGATTAAATTAATTGTCAACGATTTTGCTAGTGGACATCGTGACTAGTCAACTGATGTTGATTTGGCAGCCCTACAATCGAGACTGGCAGACTGTATCATTTCGGTTCTTTTTTTAAGATAGTATCAGCTGTCGTATGACATCTGAAAACAATAGCTTGGAAGAATGGAAAGAATTTTCTCGGAATATTTTTTTCCTTTATTATGCGGTGTTGCTTCACAGCGATGAAACGTTAAATGTATTTATGCAATGCAAAAAGTCGACATCCTGAAGAAATGCCAGCAAACATTTCTCATCCCGAGCTAAACCAACCAAAAGTCATCATGACACATCCATACATTTTTTTTAAATCCGTTTATCCTCGCGAGGGTCGCTCAGTGTGCTGGAGCTGATCCGGCTGTCTTTGGGCAGTAGGCGGGGTACACCCTGAACTGGTTGCCAGCCAATCGCAGGGCAAACATAGACGAGAAACCATCCTGGCTCACACTAACGACTAGGGACAATTTAGAGTGTTCCATTAACCTGTCATGCATATTTTGGGAATGTGGGAGGAAATCGGAGTACCCGGGGAAAACCCACACAGGCAAGGGGAAAACATGCAAACTGCACACAGGAAGGCCAAAGCGGGAATCGAACCCTGCAGCTCTGCACTGTGAGGCAGACATGTTAACCAGTCGACCCCCGTGTCGCCCCACCGTGCCCCTTTCAACTCAATTACATGGCAAATGTGTCACTGAAGGGAATCTTCCGAAAACTTTGAACCATTTGTGGAGATTTTTCGCTGAAGATTGACAAAGTTTGTGATGCAAGAGAATATCTCCCCATACCTGCCGAGGGTGTTTGCTCTGCATCCTCGCCTCCCGCCGCCTCTTTTATCTGAGTCTGCCTGGTTGTATCTAGGCGACCACGAACCTGGGCAACCAGGCGAGAGAAGTCGTTGCTGTGCTGCTTCCCTGCGAAGATAATGATGCATAAGAAGCCTCTTGGATTGGGCGATAGAGTGCACTTGGAAGACTGCTACGTCAGTCCTGCTGGAGGTTAAGTAGCACTGAAAGTTACCGAATACTGTATCTAATTGCTTCAAAAATTGCGTCATAAATGAGCCACTTTCCCCATTAATTCGAAACACTTCTGAAACACAAGCTAATGATTTCCAAGGAAGCAACTCGATCAATCACAGTTTGAGTCTGTGAAATGATTATTAACAATGTTTATAATTGTATTGTTGTTTAGAGCGGTCTATAGCTGCACTACATCACACTGTCCTCACTCATTGGGCTTTCCGGGTTTGTTGACAATGTTGAATAAGCAGCTGTTGATTCTACAAATGATAAATGGCATGTTTTGACAAAAGGCTGCAATCACATGTGAGTGCTACACCGAGTTTCCGGAGTTATCTGCTAGCTCCCGATGCTGGCAGTGTGACTCACCCACATCCTCCTGTGATAAATCAAGAGGTTATCACAGCAGTGCAGCTATTAATAGAAGCCTCCTCCTGTGAGTCACATTCATTTGTCACTTTTTTTCAAAAAGGACCCCCCCCCCCCCCCACACACCTCTGCGGTTCTTGTCAATATGATGGTTAACCAGAAAATAATGTCCAATGGTGCAAATCATGTTCGAGATCTACCCCAAAGGTAAAAATTGACCCAGTCAGCTTTCACTTTGTTTGACTTTGGGCATCTAGTGTGAACTCACTAAGCAAAGGCAGAATGAGGGGTTGAGGTGGATCATCAAACAGTTTTTTTTTTTGGGGGGTCCATTCCAATCTGAGTTGCTCAACGGCTCATTAAAGAGAGAACATCTCTGCGTGTGGTTTATGGGCTGGTTACATGCTAGTTGGACTACTCTCCAGTAGGGCTCGATGGTTAATCGCAATTTAATAGTGATTTCAATTTTGGACCTTTTAATCCAAGAAAAACAATTATTGCACAGAATGGCGTGGAGCGTTTACAAGTTCTAGAGCTTGTGGAAGTACACTGAATGCACCAAATCGCTTGCGTAGCAACTATGTCGTGTATGTGATTCTGTGATCCCCGAGCTTCCCTTCCGTTGTTTAATGACACTGCAGTTGGATTTTACTCTAAAACTAAACACACAACAAAAAGAATGACACACATTGTATATTTAAATCCAAAACATGCTTCCCTCCCCCTGCCCCTCAAACATCAGTAGCGCTAATGCTAAAGCCAATGTAATATCCCATTCAAAAGCAAACGAGAAATTAGCATCAACTTCAGGAGTGATATTCCTTCAAATGATATTCACACACAAACACAGGTAAGATAACACTACTCAAAGACACAAATTCTTCCCAATCTGTGAATTTTTTTTTTTTTAACAGAGTTCAATTGCAACTTTCTTCTGTACTCATTCTATGGGTGTTTTCCATCCATGTACAGCACCACACTGCCCCCAAGAGGCCAAGTATTCAAGCATCTTTCCTCAAAACTCCAGCATACAAAGATCCAACGACTAATTTTTTTTGTCATACCAACACACATAATTGTCTCTTTTAAAGTTTGACGATATTTTCTAAAGGAATGAATGTCATGCTTGTAAATATTAAGTATGCAATTTGCATTACGTGTATTATGCAAAGATTACTCAACATTGGCAACTTTGGCTTCATGCAGGCTGAGTGATGGAACGCATTACTGGAGCAGCATTCAGGTCTTTGTTTCAATTTTACATTCTAATTGAAACTGCCACCAGGACAAAGGCTGGACATAAATTCCCTCATCTATAAAAGCTTACGATGTGCTTAGGAAAGACTGAACGTTTTGGAGCCATTAACCTCAGTTTAGCATTGTTCTATGGGCTACTCAGCTATCTTAACAGTGGAGTAAAATCATTAAGAGCACTTCGTCCATTGTTAGAAAATATAATCGGCTTTCATGAGCTAAAAACAAAAGAATCAGCATTTCGGTGCCTTCAGCAATTGAGTGAACACCTGCAAATCTTTCTCTTTGTCTCATGGCATGATACGTGTTCTTTGCAAAGAACTTCAAAATAAAAGCTGTTCCTCGTCTCCTGAGGCATACAAATCCAATTTCTGCTTTTCATTGTAACAGAGGAGGACAGCTTACTGACCGGACTCATTGTCTACTCATATTGACTATCTGTCCGTGAAAGAGAAGCAAACACCATGTGACTTTTGTCTCATGGCATGATACGTGTTCTTTGCAAAGAATTTCAAAATAAAAGCTGTTCCTCGTCTCCCGAGGCATACGAATCCAATTTCTGCTTTTCATTGTCTACTCATATTGACTATCTGTCAGTGAAAGAGAAGCAAACACCATGTGACTCGCTATAGTGCCCCTTTTGTAGAATAAACTTTTGTGGTTGTGAAATATATTGCACAGGCTTGGCATGAACTGGCAAAAAAACAGTTCAATATTTCATCTTTTTGAATGGATTTTTTTTTTAACAGATGACTGCAATCATAAAGCTCAGTTTTGCAAAAGGTCAATGTTTTATATCTTTTTTTTTTTTTTTTTAAGAAATGTACTCAAAATGTATTTTTTTTCCAGACACACCTAATTTATGAATATCTATGGCAGTGAGCACCGAGTTGAACTTTGGAGTACAGTAATTTAGTGGGCTTTGATATTTGCTAATACAGAAATTTATGAAGGGCAGAAACTGTTTCAGGAGTGTATTGTATTGACTAACTATGTTACTCAGCAGTTCAAATTGACGCCATTTATCAGACATATTAACTCATATCATTGTAGCACAGGCCAAATATGTAAACAGTGACCAAATAACAGTACAATCACTTACTATACGTTGAGTGAACCTCATCAATTTCCTCCTCGGAGTGATTCTTTGAGAAAACCATAACCTGCACATTTGAAAGCAGTGAATTAACATCTCCTAGTTTCAATGCACGTGTGGACATTATCAACAAGGAATACAAACACAAGACAGTCCCAACTCACAGGTTTGACTTTGTCATGTAGCTGATTTTTGATCTTCTCGGTGGCTTCCACCTCTTTGACAATTTCTTCAACTGTTGAGGAATGACATTAGACATAAGAAGTTGTCTGTCTACCATGCTTTAATGCAGCAGCTAAACAATTGTAAAATGTTACGACGCAACTATGGTTCTATCAGTCTTGATGACTGCCAAAGCAAGCACTGGACGATTACACGAGCGCACGGGTCACCAACTTGGGTCTTCGAGGACCTCTTACCCAGCATGGTTTAAATGTATCCCTCCCCCAACACACCGGATTCATATACTGTAGTAGTCAGGAAGTTGCACAAAAAGTAAAAGAAAACATTTTTTCCTTAGCAAAGGTCATGACAGATTGGAGTGACTAACTTACAACAGAACGAAGCATAAAATACATAAGAGCTTTCGAGGACTGCTTTCCTTCACCTGATTTGGGGTTGAGCGAGTCACATTGTGCATTATAAATATGCACAAATTCTTTGTGCCTTTTGATCAGCTGATCGCGGGAGCCTTTCAACGAAAGGTTCCATTCCTTGAGCCTCCGCTTCAACTCCTGCAGGCTAAGCAGGTTGTACACCAACTTCCCCATCGGGCGCCTTGCCTTGCCAAGGGAGCTGTGACAGAAACATTTTACTGGTTAATCCAAAGATCCGCTACATTCATGTCACTGGGTTCTATTACAATGAAGTGGTATGATGGAAATGTCAACAAAGTAATTCAAATTCAAGTCACGGGCTGCATGCTCTGCGTTCGCCACATCGCCAATGACAAGGTGAAATAGGGAGTGACGAGATAAGTATTTCCTGCGCTCATGACATGCCACTGAATTGCATGCTAGCGAGCACTACCAAGTTAGCACTTCTGTTGCGATGCGTGTGAATGGATGAAAACATGAATACAGTGAAACTCCTCTACAACGAAATCATGTTTGCAGCAAGAAATTTTTCACAACAGGGGGTTTTTCACTGTAGCAAATTTGATTGATTTGTTTCCGAACGAAGCAGTAGAGGTCGCTGTTGGATTAGACTTGGTTGTAGTGAATCTCGTCGCAAGACAAGAGCAGAGAAAAAGATTTCGTATAACCCAACAGGGTTTTTTTTCGTTGTATGGGGGGAAGGAGAGTGGGAATGGTGTTAATGAATGAAGATTTTTTCACACTAGGGGGTATTTTCGTCCATGTAGGTTTCGTTGTAGAGGAGTTTCACTGTATCATGTCGGTTTCTGCACCAGAGACGTAAGAAGTAAGATGTAAGACTCGGGACAGCAGCCCTCTAGGACCGGGTTTGGACACCCCTGACTTTAGTGACTGAAAGTGAGTCACTAGCATTCAAATTAGCATTAGCGTCTTGCTTCATTGTGCTACTGATCTCCAAAGGAAAAGCCTTCGATCGCCTCATTGAATTTATTTATTCATTTTTTTTGTGTGTCCCATAAAAATACGCATTTTATGAAAAACATAATAGAAAATTGCCATGAATGTCATGCAAATGATAAATTGGGATGTATAGGGGACCATAAAGCAAGTTTTTAAAAATATATTTATAGTTGACACCCGCCATTCGAGGAGAACAGGAAGCAGGCCGGCCTGCGAAGAACAAAAATCCGCATGTAAGTGACACCCATTGAAATGCATTGGAGAGAAAAAAAATGGCCTTGTTTTTTTTTTTTTTTTACCCAGTCCAGAATATTTAAGATACCACCATTCATCATTGTGACAGAAAGGTGTCATCCAGATTAAGTGCTCTGTGCCGGTGCAAAAATATGACCATCATCGGTCATTAAGAGACAATCAACCTGCTGCACACAGTGCAGGATGAATCACCTGCAACAGTGAGACTCAAGAGAGTAACATTACGAGAACTCAAATCTTCAAGTCTTCATATGCCGGGCAACAAGGAGCATCAAGCTTCATTTTGAAGTCAGCACATAGACAGAAATAATAGCTAACAGACTACCTGGTGTGAGCTACTTAATTTGAAAGAAATAATGGTCAGAACATCGCCGACTAAAACATATTTTGTGGTGTTTAAACAGCATTTGGAGAAAACACTTCTCTGCTGCTTTACTCAACATTATGTGTTCAAGCGTAGTTACTTTACCTTCTTAAGCTTTCCTTCTTTTCGCCGCTTGTGAGACACATGTCCAAATGTTTGTTGATGAACGGCTGGGACACACTCACGGAGCACACGGGGCACTCCACTGCAAGAAGACACATTTAATGGATTCAAAAAAAACAAAAAATCAACTAGAAATATGAACAGATCAATAAATAGTCATCCATCACTAAATGTAACACTTTAATGTACAGTACCGGTAGATCAAAATCACTTTCCCTTTCAATTGCATCTTGCGCTGCTAAAAAACTGAAAGGTTACTTTGCAGTCTATCAACTGCCACTTTGTGTCATATACCAACAAAAACATGTGCCACAAACACACAAAACATTTCCTCTAAATCTATTTCACTTATCCTGTTCAGGTTGACAGCTGTGGAGGAAAACAATCCCAGTTGACTATTTCCTGGATTGATCTCATGGCACCTGTGCAAAACCCTGCATGTGAACTACTACAGGCCTGATGTCTTGCGTATTAAAAGATTGTGAGTAAAAGCTGACGGAGTTACAAAACGGACGCCATCGGAACAAACAAGCTTGTGCGGTGCTGATATGCTTCACCTTTGATTGCAGGCTTCACATCCGTTGGCGGTGATGAGGAAGAATGCGGCATCTCTTCTTCCGTGCTGATGCTGTGCAATTCCGTCTCATCTTGCTCCACGGGCCCGGCATCCTGCATGGATGCCTCTTCCACATCACTGGGCTCTTCCTTTACAGTGGCTTTGCGGGGGTCAGTGTCCTTAGCACTGCGCGTACGTCCAGTCGGGGCATCTGTGGCAGACTTTCTGGGCCTCTTCTGGAAAAAGTGACTCACAAGAGAGCTGTTGCACTTTTGGCCTTTGTCGCTCGGTGCTTTGCATTTGACTGATGCAGAGTTCTTTGGGGATATTGGTGGAGAGTCAAAATAAGTTTGTGACAACTGCTGTCTAGGGGGGGGGGGAAAAAGTAGGAAAAAATGTGCGTGGAATTACAACATGGAAACCGTTCAGTCGAGAGTAAAAGACAGTTGCGTGAAAGCTCTTCTTCTCTCACATAACACAATACAGGATTACATAAAGACCATATGTCCCGGAGGATAAACACATGAGTGCAGTACAATACAGAGAACTCTTGTAGTCAGTGAGTTGAGGTCTTTTAACTATAATGTCTACCACTCAGTATCGCGTTTCTTTTTATCGGACCATGAAAAAGGCGACACTTTGTCTAGGGTCTCGAAAATGTGCGAGGCAAACAAATGGCAGCAGGTCCATTACAGAGCAATAAAATGGAACCAATGAGGTGTGCTGCGCTTTGCTTTCCATATTTAAAACTTTATATTTGAACGAATTGCACCCATTAGCCCGGGCTGAGACGCATCAAACACATATGCACTTCTTTTTGCACCACTCTCAACTCCGCGCAAGACTTTGGGGGAAACTCACAAAGTAAACAAGGCTGCACAGTATAAACTCTTACACACTTCATTAAATAATTCTTTTTAGCAGAAACTCAGTCAGCAAGTAAAGGAGCGCTTTGGTTTTTCTTTGGCTTCTTGTGAAGCCACCACAGAAGAGTACCAGTGATGGAGGGGGGGGGCGGGGGAGAGAAGATAAGCGTACAAACAGACTTTGAATTGTGATAGGAATACATCTGGCTGGTTAATGCGTCGATCAACAATATTAAGACGCTTATTTTTTTCCCTTGGCAGATGCTACAACAAAAAACATGGAGTAAAAAACAGAAACTAATGGATACTATGAATTGCCAGCAATTTTTACTGCGCTGATTTTATTTTCCTGTATTCCACAACAAACCAGGATCAATTACTGAAACTGTCAACAGACACACCACCACACAGCGTGTTCTGCTGCTGCATGTGGCCGAACATGTGCATAACCGGCGTAGCTTTGCTTTACTTAGTTTCATTGACTTGTGTACTTGTATGAGTATGTAGAATACCACAAACATCTGCTGTTACAGCCAGGAAGATATGAATTGACCTAACATTGTACGTTTTTGGAATTTTGAAATGAACACAACTTGGACCTGACAAATGTAGCTTCCGCTGCATCGTTTTAAATGAAGTGAGAACCAGCCACACGCTGAGCTGAGAGCCGGAGAGAGGGGGGATGTGTTTCCGCAGCGGTGCAATCAGTCTCTACTCACTTTAAATATCCAGTCGGATGAAGATAACCAGATTTGTAGCAGATTCCATCAACAGTTCATTAGTCAGTGGCAGGAAGTAGATCGGGATTCATCCATTTTGGACAAAGTGAGAAACACTTCAGTACAAATGTTTGTTTGAAGTCATGAACAAACTGGAAAGTATCCAAAACTAGGGCCTGATGTGGCCAGGCTGGGACAGGAGGGAAAGAAAGAGAGAGAGAAAAAAAAAAGCCATGCCCCAAAAATGGGCAATCCAATTTGTGGTAAGAGTCATTACAAAGAAAGGCTTAAATCACTACAGATTATTTTAGGGGAGTGAATTTGAGAGCTGACATCATTACATTGCATTTTACAGACCTATCAATGTTCAACAACCCATTCACACGATTGTATCTTTGCAAAGTTAAACTGTTAACCCTAAAATACAGAATATGCTATATTCAATTCCCCAACCATGACAAGCATGTATGACAAAGAGTGAGGTAGCGGGTGTGCTGGAGCCTAGCCCAGCAGATTTGGGCAAAGATTGTTCGCCAGCCAATCGCAAGGCAAACAAAGCCCATTCACACTCACATTCACACCAAAGGATAACTTCAGTCTTCAGTTTACCGAACAAGACTCGAGCAAGAGCATGGATTCAAACCCTCAACCTCAGAACAGCAGGGTAGATGCGATAACCACCCTTCACCATGCCGTCCGAATACATTGTATAAATACCAGATGTCTATTTCATCTGGAGTGCATCACCTCATATGCAGGTCCTCCATTTTTTCCTCTGACAGAAACACATTTTCAGGCACTCAAGCTGACAGGAAATTAAAAAGAGCAGTTGCGTCATGCGGCCATTCGTTTATTCGGTGTCAACAAACTGAAGTGAGACCTTTTGCGGTACTGATAACCTTGAGGTGATTAATGAAAGCATTATAGCTTGCCGCTAACAAAAAATAAAAAAGCTCAACAGTTGGTTTTATTGACTTGGTTACTCAGAATGTTGCCAACCAATCAAAGGGATTTCAGCATATACGTTTGCACACAATCATAAGTGTTTTTCTGACAAGTTGGACAATTCGGTCGGTCATATTGAGGGTACAAGTAGTGATGTAACGGTAAAAGCAATATCGCGATATTAAAATTGCCCCGATATGTCATTTTACGATATTGAAAGCAGCACATCTGTGAAATAGGCCAGGTTATTTTCCATTTGTGCAGTTCAAGCACCCTCTAGTGGTTAGTTTCTTAATGCAGTTTAATTTGAATTAGGCAGGTTTTGGCCACCGATGTTTAAGACCCACGCTAATCACCAGGTGAAGGGGAACAAGTTTGAGTTCCTCCACAAATATACTTGATTCACAGTGTGTGCATGCATTAGCAAGTGAGTGTGTCAATATTAAGTATTACTGTCAACAGATAAATTGATTCTTGAACTAATCGTTAGTTACAGCACTAATTACCGATTGATTTTTTGCAAATCATTCACTTTATGTATTGCTAACACTGTACTGGCCAAACTGCTTCCCACGTCACAGTTAGGTCCATTTATATGTTTTAATCTATGCTGATCAATCTTTTCCATGACCGATGCCGTTTTACTCTACCTTTGAAGAACATCTTTTGCAGAAATAAGTGGTTAGACAGCAAATTTGGCTATTCAACTTTGACTGTTCAACTGGATATGAAAAATATGTCAGGCGGACGGGAAAAAAGTGAAGTGAACCCTGTGGTCCGGGTCACGAGAAATGAGCTTGTGATTTAAATATACGAGTCAATTTCCTCGAGACCAGCAGCAAGCTGACATTGGGCCTTAAAGCAACATGAGCTGCAAAGCTACAGAGTATATACGACAACAATATATGATGTTACATAACCTCAGCTAATGAAAACAAAATCCCCATTGGATTTGCCCTAAAACCTTCATTTAGAAATGAATTACAACGAGCCGCGAGTACTGTGCAAGTGTCAATATAATGCCAGCGAATTGCAGTGCACTAAAAGTTGTTCTCTGGCATACAGACTATAATCATATCAATAAAAATGGGATCCACTGACATCGCGACTGTAATAAATATTCCCCACTAACGACGACGCTATTGTGACTGGTTATGACTGTGTTTTGGGTTCATCACATACATGTCATATATGGGGGGGAAAGTGTTGCAAAGGAAAAAAAAAAAAAAAAGAACAATGAGATTAATTGATGAGCATGTTTCTGTCGACCTCGACAACTTCTCCATGTTTCTTCACCCACTTGGAAAATTAATTTCCCACCCCGGGTCTAACATTCCAATGTGTACATCAGTGGTATTGCTGTGAAGGCAAATTGCCTGAGTTATTGTTCAAGCATCATAATATCTAGAGCAGCAGTTTAAAATGATAGACTAGGATGTTCATTTCAACGTTACTTTAACTTGAATGTGAACTAAAACAAAGATCGATTAGTATCCAGCAAATCATTTTGTTGAATCTGCGGAGTTCCTTTGTACATTAAAAGAAGTTTGCGTACCTTGCAGCTTGAAAGTTTACAACCAATTCATCCAGTAAACGGTTGTTTTGGAGATCCTGTTCTGTTGCTTGCTAGAAGGAGGCAGAAATAATGACATTAAAAACAAAAGACAGATACTCGGAAATTGAGTTATAACCACAGTCATGGAACGAATTAAACTCATGCTCTAAGTACCAGTGCATTTTCTTTGCTCATATAGTACGTGCAAAGCACCAACTGCAGTCGCTTTTCTGTCACAGTAAATTCAAAGGTTACCAGTGAACTGACGTTTTTTTTTTTTCTTTGCTAAAGAAGGAATTACAGTTCCACAAGCTCATACCGATTAATGAGATTCCCGCAAAGCTTCCAAACTTACCGCATTGCAAACTGGACACTGAAGCTTATAGGAAAAGAATTTCCTGATGCACAAGGAGCAAACTGTGAAATGATACACAAACAATACAAGCATCTGGTAAAAGAACGGCACATTCTTTGGTGATAGACAGCTCGGTCGTTTTCAACAGTATACAAGACATAATGTTGGTATGTACAGTATGTATCCATCGTTGAATGGCTCAAAATCCATCCTCATGACTGCACAATTTGAGTTGTGGCGGAACTGCTGTTTTTCCACTAATGATATAAAACAGGAGTCCTAGTTTTAGTCACGAATTTCTCCCAAAAATTAAGTCCATGTAGTGTACGATTCGATCAACATTTCCCAATTATGATGAGAGATAGCTATTGCTGCATGTGGTGACTGCAATTATTGAACTGATTCATCAGGAATAGTTACCATGATTCTCATTTGCTGTCAGTTTCTGTGTCAAGTACGCTTTTCAATGAGAGCAGTCTATAGAAAATAAGATAACGATGAAGAAAGTGATGAAAGTTTGACACTCGGATTGTACGAAAAAGTTCACGACCTAAATTGTCAACCCACATTGAGTTAGACAGACATACCGACTCAATTCCACCTGTCCATCAATATCCGCACAAAACGCGGAAAGCAGGAAATAACTTGAGCACCAAATCAATGCCACTCCATAAAGGAGTACAACTGCCGTACTTACAATTGTGAGAGCATTTGGTCATCATTGAAGTGTTGAGAAAATCAAAACAAATTGGACATCGCAACAGAGCGTCAACGTTCTGGAGGAAGAGGGGAAAACAAAACAAGAAATAGGTCAATTGTTAGTCATCACATTTGGAAACAGTCCATCTTGGCACCTGTTCCCAAAACAAACAAGCTCACCACACAGAATGACTTTCGGCCGATGGCTTTACCTTCTGCGGTGATGAAATAGATTGAAAAAAAAATTGGTCAAAACAGTCATTTTAGCAAAAACTGAGCATCTCTTGGACCTCTACAATTCACTTCCCAAACTAATAGAGGTGTTCAATACCACAGCAACTTCACTTAACCTTGTGTATACAGTAAACATCTTTGTGGGCAGTAAGAACCGTGTCAGATTGCTTTCTGGCAATTCCTCATTAGCTTTTAAAACGATATATCCTCACATTTTAGCTGATACACCTTTGCATTCCCTTGATCTAGATGCATGTCTCGTCGGCTGGATTTTAAATTTCCCCACAAACAGATCCCAGCAGGTAATAGTGAATGGGACTTTGTCCGGCTCTCTATCATCCTCAACACTTGCACTTCTTTTCATTTTATGTACAAAAGACTGCCACCCACTGAACCAGGAATAGAAGCTTCTTCCTTCAGGCCTTCACCTGAAAGTTCCCATCTACCAAAATCAGACATACGTTTTCTTGTGTGCCTCTCTCTATCCCCGGGCTTTAAACGCTGCAGGGAGGAAGAGGTAGTCTGTATTATCCCTTTCATTTTCTCGTTACTGTGAATTGTGCACTTTATTTTACCAACCTGCACCACTACCGCTGCAGCATGTATGCTGACCAGTAGTCTGTTATGTCCTTTTTTTTTTTTTTAAACCTGTGAATTATGCACTTTACCTGCAGCTACTGTACGTATGATGACCAATAGTCTGTTATGTGCTTTTTAACTTTTTTTTTACTGTGCATTATGCACTTAACACAGGTACTGTATATATGCTGACCAGTGCTTTGTCATTACGTTATTTGTTTTTCCTCTGTATCATAAACCATGCACTGTACTTTACCTTGTAGCTTCTGTTCATGAGCTGCCTTGCATTACGTTTGTGCACTTTACGCATTTGATGCAATTTACTGCTCATATCATTATAATTATGGGTTAATGAGTGTGACCTGCTGAAAACCAAATCGCCCGAAAAAGGACAATTCAATAATGTGAAGTTCGTCGTAACCTGCAAAGATATAGCTGGTAATAGCACGAAAAAAATTGCGAGAGAAAGGAGATAAATATTTGCATCTGTAGTATTGCAGGGAGAAGACTGGATTGCAATTATTGTGTTAAATTTCCCAGTTTGACCGCATTTGAAACTTTTGACGTTTCTGTTTTAGTAATCCCAAAACCACTGCGCGACAGCAAACATTCGAAATATTGCACTGCAAATGAACACGGTGAGCTACTTGTTCACCTTTTGTAAAATAGCTTTCAGTGTGTTGTTAGCTCCTTCCGGTAAACAACTCGTAAATTAGCGCACAAGCTAAGAAACCCCATTAAAAAACACTGACGGCAGCTCCAACTTACTTTCAAAGCCAGACACGGTACGAGATTTTTTTCTGTTTGGAAGGCCATCGTCGATCGATCAAATAAGTGCTGTGCAGCAATTCGATAGATTTGATCGGTTTTGAAACACCTTGTCCCGCTCGAAAGCGAGAACCCGCTACGTCATTTGACGACTTCCGCTACGTCGTAGTTTCTGAACTGTGACTTTGTTTTAGAGGTATTAGAACACGTATTAAATGTTACCACTGATTTATTGTGGTTGTATGCGGCGGTGTATCACTGCTTTGAATCACACACAAAGCTTTTATAATAATTTTGTAGATCCATAAACTAACAAACTAAATTGTCCCTGAGTGTGAATTTTGTGTGCGAATGGTTGTTTGTCTGCGTGCCCTGATTGGCTGGCAACGGGGTGTAGTGGGCGTGGTACACGGGGGGACACCGCCCATCCACTTCTCCCGACGCCACATTCAATTTTTATTGAAATGTTTGTTGATCATTGTTCTAATGCGAGTTATGCTAAATAACGTTGGCCTGTGATTATTTTGGAGTAGTAAAACATTACATTTAACGTTAGTTCAACTGGTGTTGTAGCCTATGATTGATGTTCTGTATGTATATATAGAACATCCCAGAATCGCGTACACCCGCTGAAAAAAATCCCCACAACACCACTGGCTGGCAACCAGTTCAGGGTGTACCCCGCCCTGCCCACGACCCTCATGAGGATAGTGTCATTGCCGACGTGTCCTTGAGGAAAAACACTGAGCCCCCCAGTTTCTCCTGATGCAGTGTAATCATTCGGTAAAATGAGGAGACATTGTAAACTTGCTTTGAGCTTCTTGAAGGTAGAAAAGCTATACAAATAAAAGCCCATTTACCAACATTGTGGCAAATAAAAGGCAAAAAAATCCCTTTTGACAACTTCAACAAAAAAATAACATTAATTTTGTAAAGCAGAAATAAAAAGACGTCGAGGCAAGTGTTGATGAGATCCCAGATGAACTGCCGGCCTTGAAGAGACATCTAATAAGATCAATGGAAAATGAATTGGTTTATTGCAGCGAACTTCAGCTAGAAGAGAAATAATGTGAAATATGCACACTCGCTCTGTATTGAATAGTTTGTCAAACCATGAAAGTAAACATTTGTTTTCAATTTATCTCAAGAAATAAACACCTTTCAAATATATTTATCAAATAAACGTTGACTTCCATCTAGTGGTGATTGGTGTTATTACAAACTTGCATAGGCACATATTTGCATATTCGTGAATTTCACTTTTTTTTTTCCAATATTTTTCATATTTTGGATCCCCAAAGATGAAGACCGCTTTCGGGAAGAAGTCTTGTTCAGATGGTATTAGCTAACACGTGGTAAGTCTACCACTTTGATGGAAATCAAACATTCCACATAAGAAATGCATCAAGGAAACATCCTCAGAAGTTTAAATTCATGATTTCTTGCAGATTTGTGCATTGTTGAGGGTCTCGAAGCAAAGACGCTATGCGGGGGCAGACAATGTGTTTTCACTTAAATATGTGCCCAAAGCAAGTTCTCGCGGCACACCATGGATCAGTGGAACAAATTCATTAACTTCCTCATGCCCGAAGGAATGTAGCCCTCCCGTGAAACCAAATCCAGACAGCATTAGTTTATCTGTGAAATAGTTTTAAAAATGTAAAGTACTTTGTAGTCACATCACGTGAAGAACATGGAATGGCAGATTATAAATCCAAACACTCAGTCAATATGAGGAGATTCCTAATGAAGCATTGTGCAAGTCATGATCCAGTCGTGTCATTGTACGCAGTGCACAGGTGTGACCTGCATGGGGTTTGGCCGGAACTGCTGAAAATTTGTATATCTATCAATTGATCGAACGATAGCTAGATGTCAACACTGTTTATCCTGAACAGGTCACAGAGGGGTGCTGGAGCCTATCCCAGGAGGCAGGCAGGTAACACCCTGAAAAGGTCGGCAGTTGTAGGGCACATATAGAGACAAAGAACCATTCACACCCAAATCCGCACCGTCACAGAGTGGGAAACAATCCCACACTGCCCGCACACAAGTCAAACGAACGAGGATACCACTACACCATCAGTGACTCGAGGTACTGTGACATTTTATATGCACAACAGGCATTTGTGATCTTTTTGGTGGTTGTTAGGCTATAAAATGTTCAGTCCTTGAAAGTGTGATGATTGTTTCCATTCAAGCGAAGCGTGACGCTTTTCAATTACCAGACAGCATTTTTAGCTTTCATTTTTTTTTTTTTTTTTTTTTTTTAATGCATCAAAGTAGAATCCTTGGTTGCCCTGTTAACATTCATCATTTAGATGAATGCTAATCTGCTACAGTGGGCACCAAGATATAAAAAAAAAAGACACACCATGTGCTCCGTCCAACAGTACCTTCATCATTAGTTTTTGACATGGTTGTGGAGTCTGTTATTGAAGATGAGGACAAATGCGAAAAATCAATGTTTAACTATGATTATTTGTTCATTTTCCCCCCGCTTGTCTGTTTTAGGGTCATAGGTGAGCTGGAGCACATTGCTGCAGACTTTCAACAAAATTCTGAGAATGGCCTAGACTGGTCACCTTGCACGTCAATTGTCAATTCCACACCTTGTAGAAAAATTTAGAGTCTTCAATGACTCTAAATGGAAGTTATTGCAAAGTGGAGGGAAGCCAAGTGCACCTGGAGATAATGAACAAAAACACAGAGAAGAAACCGCACACAAGAAATCATGAGCTAAAATTCAAACCCAAAACCCAATGACTCCGAGGAAAGACATGCTGACCAAATTTCCACCGTTTCAATTATGTAAATAATACAAATATTCTGGAGTCACATTGGAATTAGTAGCCACAGATGGTGCAATCATGTTAACCAAGACCTTATTAAAAAAATTAAAAATTAAAATGTTAGCCTGTTTTCATCGTATGCTCTATCACTTAATGGGACTCACCTGAAAATACAAGCTGCGAGTTACCACGCAAACATGTACAAGGAAATGAAATAAATGAAATAAATTAAACATGACTTCCACTTGTTTACACAATTTCATTGTGATTAGGAAAATGAATGATCGCCCAGCTCACCAGGAGCACCCCAGGGGCTCCATAATTGAAGAGAACCTCCCTGTTGATGAGGCCAAGGAGGTGAAGGTAGAGGCAGAAAGTACATTTACGATCATTTTGTTCTGCTGTGACTTGCACTCATTGATTATACCTTATTGTTGCCTTCGCGCTGTTTTACGTTTTGATTACAAATAGAGCCAATGGCGAGGCCTCGTTCAACCTTGTTGGAGAATCATAATTTCAGATTTTGTGTTGAATGAAGTCTATCAGTAATCTGCAACAAACAACGGTATTCCTGAGCTTTCCCCAAAACATAGGCCCTTAATTGAAGGTGTCAGACGTCGAAATTTCTCCCTAAACAGCAGCAGATTTGTGCTCTTTGGGTGACTTCAGTTTTGTTGGACATGTTCTTGTTGAACAGTTTTTTCAGGTGGAACAAATTGGATTTTGTTCATGCTCCGTCACTCTAACTGTTGGACTATAGAGGTAATTTAATCGTGTATTTTAAGCAGGATACCATTTTCTGAACACTGGTTTGTAATTTCCGTGGTGGCACAGATTGCATTCCAGTCAGCTCCACAGCCTCGAACCTCCTTGCATTTTTGCACTAATGCTTTATTGCCATCATGTGGCCACAATAAGAACTGCAAATAACTAACGAAAAATACACTGGCATTATGAAAACTGCCTGAAGAAAAACATACACTTACCAATTCCGGTATGAAGTCCAAATTTATTCGGTCATTTCTCTCCACAGTAGATTATAGCACATTAATAATGGGAAAAAAAAAAAAAAGATATCGTTTCCTGCAGGATGAGGTATATTTTTTTAAAGGTCACATGGCCAAACCCAGAAAACAGGTTAGCCGTGACGTTCGCAAGCTCAGCCCTAAGGCATTGGGATGTTATTTTCAGTCGACAGCAAGTGGCAAAACAAGGCAAACTGGCAGTCCCGTGAGATGGATAAAAACGACAGGATTTTTCTGCCTAATCCAAATTCCATAAACATAGTATTAATCCGTATACCGTGTTTAAACTAGTGAGGACTGAGTGAAGAACATTTTTGACTTGACTTCAGCTTTAAAGTAACACCTCTCTGCCATACATCAAATCTCAAACCTTTTGTCATTAATATTTTTTTATACACACAAAGTATTATTGGATTGTTTTCCGAACCCATTCGCCGGGTAGCTGTGGATTTTGATCAGACTGGGTAGAGGTGAAGATTGGATTTAGCAGACAAAGAACTGAAGCTGGTCGCCAGTTTGTGCACTGAAGTTCAAGTAAATCTAATGAAACATTCTTAAAAACTGTTGGTTTTGGACCCAGTGCTGGGTTACTTTTGACCTTGCAGTTATATATTTTATATATAGCTTGGACTGGACCCTCTTGTGGAAACGTTCATCAACATACCGTACATTGTATTTAGAAGCATCTGAAATAATTACAATAAATATTGAGCAGTAATGGTTTTATTTGGATGCACATCTTTTCAACATCCACTTTGTGGTAAGGTATATCACAGGCTTCTAATTAACCAAGACACACACACCACTAGACGAACAATAAAAGAGAAGATTGACAACAACTCACATTCCATCATCACAACAAGACAGGCACAGTCGTCTATCTTACAGCAATGTTTTTTTGTCTAGATTTTTTTGTGGTTGTTGTTTTTAATCCTATTATCGCACCTGCTCAGCAACCGTTTCAGGAGAGACTTTTTACATCCCATGGAGGAAAAACACAGAGGAAGTAAGTGCCTTTTAAGCTCTACAAGTAGTATCCCTCATTTGTGCGTTTGCCAGCAATACTGCAACGCCTTTGCTTTGTACCAGAAGGGAGAGAAAAGAGGAAGTTATGGCTCAGGCACAGCACAGACACGTCACGGGGAAAACAACAAGATGCAATAAATATTCTGAGAAGACTCTACTGAATTTGGCAACCAGTAGATTAGGTGCATAGTGGTTTTTAAATTTACTTTTTATCTCTCACCCAGCACAGAAAAGCAGTTCAGAATGACCCTGGACAAATTATTGCAAAAACAGCAATAGAGAGTAATCATACAAAAGGAACATTCATAATAAATATGACAACTAATAGACAACGTGTTAAAATTGTAATACAAAAGTAAAAAAAGAAAAAGAAAAAAAAATCAATGTGGTGCACAAAAGGCACTCTAGATGTCCAGCTCTATTTGTACATTACTGTATAAATAAAACAGTCTAACATGATCGTATTTTTCATGTTCTCTTATGAACATTCTCATATTTTGTACATACAATTTAATTGGTGCAAAAGTCTTGTGTGACAAAGGCATACATAACTAAAGTATATCTTTTTACAAGTTGAGCTGAATAGGCTGTGCTGCTGATGTTTCCACTGGTTCATGACAAGACAGTACCATCAGCAACCAGCAGGGAGAGCAGGTGGCCAGAATAAATTGAGAAAGCTCAGGATGGTCTAATTTTGACAGTATCCATCCATCCATTTTCTAATCTGCTTATCCTCGCAAGGGTCGCGGCCGTGTTGGAGCCTATTCGAGCTGTCCTCGGGTAGTCGGCGGGGGACACCTTGAACTGGTTGCCAGCCAATCGCAGGGCCCACATAGACAGACAACCATCCGTGCTCACAAACACACCTAGGGACAATTTAGAGTACCCAATCAGCCTGTCATGCATGTTTTTGGAATGTGGGAGAAAACCGGAGTACCCGGAGAAAACCCACGCAGGCATGGGGAGACCATGCAAACTCCACACAGGAAAGCCGGAGCCGAATTCTGCACCTGTGCACTGTGAGCCCGACGTGCTAACCAGTCGACCACCATGCTGCCCATTTTTTGGCAGTACATGGCAGGAAATAAAATAGCATTTTACATTGAGAAAGTGCCTGGTCTGCATGCTTGAGTATCATACGTTTTTATATGTGCGCTACTTGCTACAAGCGGATTAATTGGTCAATATCAGCCAGAGTCTAATCAAAATGTTTTAAGTGAAAAGTTTGCCCTGCTGCAGCCAATCATAAAAGCATTTCATCAATTATGCCGACATTACAACAGAAAGCATGCACTCTGATGCTGACTCCAGAGTTGTTATAGATCAAAGTCGTTACACTCTTAACAAAATTAGAGCAGAACAATTGAATCAACAAATGCTGCTGCACTCAAAACTTGACATTGTTAATAAACTGAACTTAACTGACAGTGTGATGCCCGGCCTCCTTTTTAGCACTCTGTTGTATGTGGATCATTTTCAACTTAAATTGCTTAGTAGAACATGAAACAGTTCATCCATCCATCCATTTTTTACGCGACCCCTCCTCACTCGTGTGTGTGTGAGCGGGAGCCTATGCCAGCTGAATGAGCAAGAAGCAGATTACATCCTGAACTGGTCGTCAGCCATTCACACCTCTGGACAATTTAGTTTTCAATGAACCTAACTTTCATGTTTGTATGATGACGACGGAAGCCGGAGCACATGGAGAAATGCCCATGCAAGCACGGGGAGAAGATGTCAACTCCACACAGGAAGGCCAGAGCCCACATTCGAACCTCGATCCCGTAACTATGAAGCAGATATGCTCGGCAATCCCACACCGTGCTACTCTGAAAAGATTCAAGTTTTTTTTCCCGAGATTTTTATCAAGAATATAAGGGTGAATCGATTCAACTTAGTATCGTACACTGAGCAACTGGATTCACAGCACACACGACAGCGGGGTAGATGATTTCACAAAGCAAGAAAATATGTTTGTATTGTACTGAGTTGTTTGGTTGAAATATTTTCAAGTACCCTTCATGTCCATCATCTCCCTTTTCAGTATTAAGTCTAGACAAATTCAAAACATTTACAAAGAAAAAAAAAAACCACTGTATTTACACATTTACTAAAGCAATTAGTAGATTCATTACTTGTGTCTGTCATATGCAGTGTGCACATGACGGGCACCGTGACAGTTGGACGTGTGCCGTTACAGCACAAGCACGATGCTTCCACCGGTTAACAAGCACATTGTCGCACCCCCCCCCCACTCAACCCCCACCCCCAGTGTGCCTTGATGTCTTCACTAGTCCAAATGATGCATTGAAGCAGCACTGGGAAGTCCATCATCGGACTCTACAGACGCAGATTTAGTAGCTTGAGGTAAAAACTGATACATATGCATAATGTCTGCACACATGTGCTGTGGTTATCAACGGTTTTAAAGAAGGCGAAGGTTGACGCTATTCCACCTGTGCAGCCTTCTCCCCCCCCCCACCCCCACCCGCGTCACCATGACAACCCTTCACGACAGGAGCTTCCGACAGATATGAGTAAAGTCAGGCAGAAAACAGAGATAAATGCATCGGTTTGCTGCACATTTCCCAGAGCGTTTGGAAAGCCAAACGACATGAGCGGCATCAAGCTGTTTCACGGGAAATTCATCTGCAACTGTTTTTCTTGAAGGGCATCCAGGAAAAAAAAAAAAAAAAATCATATTTACCAGCTGTTTTATTTTCTCAAACACAACAATGAACACTGGACCTCAAAGTGTCAATTTTGTCCTCCGTTATGATACCCCCATGTGTCCCCAATAAACATTACCACATGAAGCGCAGACATGGCATCTGTAGAGCTGAAGTTCATGGTGGAAAGTGGAATTCTGTTCCGTTTACAGTATCACACTATAAATTCCGCCTTGTTTTTCGAACCCACTCGCTAGTTAGTGTGAATTTTGAGCAAATTGGGTTACTTTTACCCAAAGTTGGGTCCATTATTTGGACCCAGGACACTGGATCAAGGGTTGGTTTTGAGAGGGCTGAAGAGCTGAAGCCGGTCGCCATTTTGGACAGATTTGCAGACTGAAGTTGAAGTAGATAAACTGAATGTAGCATTCTTAGCAAAAGTCGGTGGCGGCTGGATGGCTCGGTGGGTAACAACGGAATATGGGTAGGCTACACGTGCCGGAAAGGCATCAGGAGTGGAAACTACCAAATATGTCATGCGAGTGACTGTGGCGAACCCTGATAGAAGAAAATGATGTTGTATTATTTTGTACCACATCAATAGTGGTAACTATAAACCAGACTGGACTTAACTCAACCTGCTGATTGAAATCCTCAATCCAACGCACCGTCTATAAATAACCCAACATTACCTCTGTTCCTTTTGGATCCAGAGTGTTCATTCATCATCTACTCTTTAATGAGGTGATTTTGCCATTTGGACTATGATCTCCCTGAGCTGTAGGAAATTTTGCCCACCCCTCAGCTCTACTTTCTGATCCACAGATTAAATCAGTAACGAAAATATTAATCAGGAGTTGCAGTCCCATTTAACCTTCGCTACATGGTACCAGATTTGTCAGCACCATCGGTGGACACGTTGATGCCGGGCCCGGCTGCCGTGTTGTTACCGGGAAACATTTTATCAGTGGGTGTTACAGCTGGGCTGCCCACCCCAGAAGAACTGGAGCTGCTTGAGCGGTGCTGGGTGGGAACGGGGCGTACCGGTCTCATGGGCGGCGGGCGCAATTGAGCGCCAGCGGCGAGCCGCGCCGAGAGCGCCGGCTTAAAGGTGGTCATCATCTCCGAGGTGGAACTGTTGCTCCGGCGCATGGCCGCATCTGGGTCACGGATCATGATGGTGTGCAAAGGGCTGCCGGGCTCGGAGCTCACTGGGTTCTTCATGGGCTCCAGGGTGTCCAGGACCACATCGGGAGCCTGCTTGGCGGAGTTCTGTCGCTCCAGCTCGTGAAGCTCATGGAGCGCCGTGTTCATGGTCTTCTCGATGTCCTGGTTGAGGGCAAGAACAGACGTATAACGCTACGCACTGTCATGCTCTCAGTACAAATTGACCAATTTGTCGATTTTGAACATTTTCATTTTACGTACTTTTTTATGTTCAAAATACTATTGACTTATGTGTATCACACAGTCATGCCCGTAAATATTGGGACACGGTCATGCACACTTTCAGATTGAATTTGAGGATATTTAATTCCAAAATCAGATGAAGAGTGTAGGAAGCACAACAGTTTACACACTGCCATTCATAATTATTGGCAGTCTTGGTGAAGATTCGGAGTGTCACGCCAATAAAACTAGCGCATTAGGTCTCATATTACCAAATTCTCATGTGATTGTGCAGAACATAAACAGACAGGAAATAGCAGAGGCGCTAATTGACATGTCAGTCTCACCTCAGCCAGAGCCTCAGCTTCAAGTGACTTGTGGTCCCCAAGGCTGCTATGGCGAGTGGCCCCTGACATCGGCCTCAGTGGATGGCCCTCAGGATAGGCCTTCCTTTCTGGATAGTTTATACTTCCTGCACTACCAAAGGTCCCCAGTCGCCTTTTTTCTGGGCTTTCCATACGCGCCTTGTTGACGGACATCTTGTGGGGACTGCCGGGACAGGCAGCTGCCCGCGGAGGCGTGTCAGGAACTCGGGTTGGACTCTGAGTGTCTGTGCCGGTGCGATGGCGAGGAATCGCTGCTCCGTCGGACCGCAATCGGACCCTAGACCGCACATATATCACATGGAAAACCACGACTGCTTAAGAAGAGTTGATTTTATTTGGATTTTGGGTTAATTTTACTGACCTGCCCTTGACGCCTCCAAAGCTGTAATCGGGTGATTGCTCACATGGTGAGGGACCGTCATTGTTGGTTGAGCTTTTTTCATCCAGTTGTGGCCCACTGCTGGCTTCACTATCTGCTTTCTGACTGAGGCTGTCTGAGAAGGCATCATCCCTGTGAAAGTAGTAGCACGGTCGTCAGGACGGGCTGCATTACAGCCCAATTTTTTTTTTTGGGGCTGAATCATAAAAGTTACTTACACGTCTTGCACTACAATGTATTGATGAGGGATCAGGCCATCCAGGCCGTTGTGTCGGCCCTCCCACCAGTCTTCGGATGCCCGGTGATAGAGAAGCAGAGATGCTCCCTTCTTGAATGACAGCTCTCTTGGGCTGCGGCCCACGTAATCAAATTTAGCGATGGCCTCGATTTGTTCAACCTCTGAAAAAAAAACAACAACAAAAATAAAACAAAATACCGTTCAACAAGTGCTATAAAGACGCTAATCGAGCGTTTCGGGGTTTTTTTGGTCTTTGCGTTGATGTTCACAGATCAATGCAATTTGCTAAGTCAACCAGTAGAGGTCAGTAATGCTTGAGTAATGTCATCACCATCTCAGCAAAGATGACCAAAACCCAGTCAGAACCTTCAGTTAAGTACAGGAAATTTTCTAGGTCAGTAAATTAAGCAAAACACCTCCATCACTTACTTACAGCCAGTGAGTTTATTCCAAAAAAAATGGGCAAATGGGGGGCAAGTGACTGTTCTCAAGTAGTTTAAATGATAACTAAGATGACGTAGTCTGATGTTGCTGACCTTCATCACTTGTGTGAGGTTCAGTTCCATTGTCAGCTTCATCAAGAGTTCCTGGCTCACTGTGAGGACTATCACTGCAGTGAAACACAAAGAAATTTAATGCTAAACTGATTTGGTATTTCTCAAAGTAAATGTGTATATATTTGGGGAGAAATTCGAATTCAGTGTTAAAAATAGTTCACTCACCAGTATTCCTCACCGCCGGTCATGCACTTTTCATAGACTGGGCCGTCTAGTTCACGTAGACTGGGAAAGATGACTTCATTGTGTATAATGATAGTCTTGATGACCTCGTTCACATGCGCCTGACATGACACCGGGTCCTGACTGTCGGGAATGGGCATCAGCGTGGGACCAAAGCAGATGGCCAAGTTGTATGGATCCATCATGTTCTCATCACTATACTGGGAGAGACTGAAGCAGAAAGACATTCTTTGTATCCAAACATAATTGAAAACAAATTTACAAAGCATATGTCGGGCAAATTGGAGACAATTTCATTCCCAATACTCAGGTTGTTTTAATTGTTGTTGTTTGGTGCTGGTTAGGTACAAATGAACGTTTGAAAACTGTAAAATGAGATTTCTGTACTTGATGAAACAATGCAAAGAAGGTATAAAGAAAATTAAACCATGGCTGAGCCCTGAGGGACATTAACTAGGAAGGATGAACAACAAACCAAAATATTCCCCATTAACTGTAAAATGAGAAGAAGAAACTCACTGATTGAGAAAAGCAAAAAGGTATCTCATGACAACGATGACGGTCCGAGGCAGCGTCACAACAATCTGCTGGATGTGATGCGCTCTCTCTGCTCCCGACTCCAACTCTGAAACACGGATGGATATAAACAATGGTGGAATGGTGAGATTTGTATTACCCGTGCAAAGGACATTTAGTACAGGATTACGTTACATTCAGTTAGTCATGCTCAGTTTTAACTGACACTGTCGGAGCAGTGCTGCTTCACTTTATTTTTGAAAATGCAATTACCGGTACATTTTAATCTTTTCAGTGGAAATTCAACTTACAATCTGCTGTAGCTATTCTTTTTTTATGTCGCACACCACATAAAGAATCAGATCAAGGGCACCTTGGCAGGAGTTAGAAAGCACTGTAGCATCCATCCAACAACTATAGTGGGCTAGAGACAGAGCCCTGCTATGGATCGAAAACATCCAGAGTAACAGATGCAAATATGCCAGAGCAGTGTATTTGATTTTTTTTTTCCCATATTGTGTTTGCCAATTGAACCGTGACCCTACAGTTCCAAAACCACAGATGATTTTTAGTGCACTGTATTATAATCACTAATGAGCTGATTACCTCTTTTAGCGCCATGCAAGTTTTTTTCTATCCAACATTTGATTACTTTTAATACTAATACAAACGATACATTTGCACTAACATAACAGTAAACACCATCTGGCATTACTGTTTATACTGAGTGACACTCCATTTCAGTTAGGCAGTTAAGTTATCTTGCATTTTAAGAGATGCACCATCCTGCCTTATAGCCCATCCTGCCCATTTATCACTCCTCTTTCTTTCTACTGGCTCTCTGCTAAGTATTACACCGGGGGCACTGGAGTTCAGATTGCTTCCATGTGTGTGGACTACTCTCGTCTTCACATCAACTGAGAATCTAGAAAACAATGTTTTTCCGTTCTGGCTGTTTTGTTTGCACACATATACAAAATCACAGAGATTCACACACGCACGCACATACACACGTACACAGCCACTATGGCTTTGAATGCTTGGTGACTCACTGATGGTTGAGATGAAGTCCAGGAAACGCTCCTTTGGGAAGAGGGAGTTCTCCAGGCCTCGGAAGTAAAGCTTTAACACTCCTGCCACTGAGTTGATATCATGTTCATTGTGGTCGTCTATTAAGGGATCTTCTCCTGATGAATAATCACAACTCAGCATTCAGTGGTGACATTCGATGGGATACAGAACCACGTAGCTTTCAAGCGAATCAAAGGCGACAGGATAACAAGAAGTGACTCACCTCTTTCAAAAGAATTTTTAAT